ATATCATACACATAAAAATAAAAATAATAAAATATTTAAAAAATAAAATAACAAGACATAAACCCGAGAGGCAGATGTATTTTTGGTTTGAAGTAAGGGGTGTTAAGTGTGAGCCACTAGCTCTGTGAAGTGACCATCAGCTCTGCAGAAGTAGACCCTTCTCTGGAGATGATGCCTCTACCCCACCGGGGAAGAACCAAATTGTGCACACATGGCCCTTAAACTCAGCACCTCTCACCTGACCTTCCTTCCTAGCCAGCAAGGAAGACAAAAATTGCTTAGCTTCAAAATTGCCCTTGGCCATTTTAAAGAGAAAAGCATGTAAAACTGCTCAGAAAGCACACTGCATATTTTTAAAAATTATGTGTGTGTGTGTGTGTGTGTGTGTGTGTGTAGGAGTGTGCGCCTATGAGGGTGGGTGCTTGTAGACTCCAGAGGAGGGTGTTGGGTCCCCTGGAACTGGAGTTACAGGTGGTTGTGAATCATCTGATGTGGGTGCTGGGAACAAAACTCAGGTCCTCTTCAGGAGCAGCAAATGCTCTTAACTGCTGAGCCATCTTTCCAGCCCCTCTCTGCATATTTTTATATCCAAGCCCAGAGCCTTAATACATGTGCTTGCTCATGTGCAAACATTGTGTAAGTATTCCATGTATAATGATATCCAGTATATAAAAAGGCAAAATATAGCTTAAATACTATTTAATTTTATGGCCTATGTTTTGACCACTGTGTATAGTTGAATTCTAGCAAGCTAAATCTTGGTGTAATAGGACCCTACCTATTGCTCAGAAAGCACAACATTTATTTCATTTAATTTTTAAAAATATTTTATTTGCTATTTTTATTTTATGTATATGAGTGTATTACTGCATATATGTCAGTGTACCCATGTCGTGCAGTGCCATAGAGGTCAGAAGAGGGCATCAGATCCCCTGGAACTGGAGTTACAGGCAGCTGTTAGCTGCCATGTGGGTGCTGGGATTCGAACCCAGGTCTTCTGCAAGAGCAGCCAGTGCTCTTAACCACTGGACCATCTCTCCAGCCCCTGTTTCATTGAATTTTAACTCTTTTCATTCTGTAAGGGCTTGAATTTAATCTTCTTAATGACTAGAGACAGCATGTATTGCAGCTTACTGTCATAATCAGCCCTGGGTTGTCTGTTGAGGTTTGCCACTGGGAAAAATTTCATCCTGGTCAGATCTGCCCTTCATCCCACCAAAACGTTATCAGGAAAGAAATCTCTTTAACCCTCAGAGTATTCATTCTTGGAACCAACAGAACATTGAAAGCCATGGAGCTCTTTGATTGACAGCTGTGTGGGAATATGTGGCCAAGTGCCTGGCACACAGTGAGTTCTCAGTAAGATTAGGTGCTGCTGTGGTCAGGATGTTTCTGCTTCCCTCATATTGGGGAGTGGATCGTTCATGGAGGCAGAACCTTCAGGAAGCAGAATTAGTGCCCTTAGAAGAGACCCGAGATGGGTCCTCCTTCCAGCTACTATGGAGATTAGAATGAAAAGACAATTGTCTCCAAGGAATGACCTTCACTAGACACTGAATCTGTTGACACCTTGACCCTGAACTTCAGCCTACAAAACTGTATAGAGTAAATTTCTATTGTTTGTAAGTCTACCCAATCTATGGTATTTTTAATATTTATTTATTTTTGATTGATTGATTTTTATTATCTGTGTATGAGTGCTTTATCTGACTGTATGAAAGGTGCATCATGTGTGTACGATGCCCACACAGGCCAGATGCCCTGGAACTGGAGTTATAGACAGTTGTTAGCTACCATGTGAATACTGGGAACTGAGCCTTCGTCCTCTATAATAGCAACCAGTGCTCTGACCCACTGAGCCATCTCTTTAGTTCCCAGTCTATGTCTATGGTATTTTTGTTATAGTGGCCTAAATGAACATACTTAGGCAGTTTCAGTGAATCTTCCTGAAGTACAACAACTTATGCTTTCTTTCACTAATGTAGGTTTATGGCCATTTTGTTCCACAGACATTTATTGAGCAAGGACTCTGCAGAGAAAAAATACAAAGGTGTAAGGGCTAGCCTGTGCCTTTGTGATAATCTAATTTGTGTTACTAACTATAATAAAACATCAGAAGTTGGGTACTTTATAAGTAAAAAAATAATTTGGCCCATGACTCTGGTGGCTGAAAGGTCCAAAGAACACGGCGCCAGTGTCCTGGTGATTGCTCCCTTTGCTACATAACAGCATGACAGAGAAGCAAAAAGAGGAGCGGTAGTATAGAGACCAAACATGTGGTTCAGCCTCACTTCACAGCAGCTATTCTCATGAGAACTAATTCACTCCTGTGAGACCCACCCACATCGTAGGAATAGTATTAATTCATCCATGAAGGTAGAACCCTGTTACCAAATCACCTTCCACTAGATCCTACCTTTTAAAGGTCCTGTTACCTCAGCATCACCAAATCAGAGGCCAAGCCTTCAGCAGAGAATCTTGGAAGAAAAAGTCCATCTAAACCATAGCAGTCCTTCTCAGGGGACTGGAGATGTCTCATGAGGTCACACACACATCAAGCTGGTCCAGACAGGCGTCCTCTTTTGGTGGAACAGGAGCTGAGATTTGAGGTGGGCAGGTTTTCCCAAGTGGGGCAAAGAGGATGGCAGGACAGAGGGGTGATGAGAAAGGTCACTCAGAGGACCATCACTGCTGCCCTAGTTTCCTTTCTGTTGCTGTGGTGAAATACCCTGACAAAAACAACTTAGGGAGAGGGATAATTTGGCTTTTAATTCCAGGCTACAGTTCATCATTTTGGGGAAGTCAAGGCAGTGACTTGAAACAGCTAGTCACATCCACAGTCAAGAGCGAATGACTGCATGCCTGCCTCCTTGTGCTCAGGAACCCCCTCTACTAGTGTACATTCCAGGACTCCCTGCCTAGGGAATGATGCCACCTATGGTGGGCTGGGTCCTCCCACATCAGTTAATGCAGTGAAGACAATCCTCTACAGACATGCCCACAGGCCAACCTGATCTAGACCATCCCTCATTGAGACTCTTTTACCAGATGATTCTACATTGTGGCAAGCTGGTGGGTAACACTAAACATAATTACAAATAAGGTAGTGTGGGAGTTTGGAAAGTCAGAACCAACATGATGACTATTACTCCCTATTTAGAAAAATGCTATTTTGAAATATAAGAATATTTTAAAAAAGCCAAACTAAATCTTGGCTTGCCAGCCTGCCTTAGCAATAAAGGTTCCCCAAGAGCTGAAGAGTGGATTTATTCTGGCTGTTATCAAAATAGTGCTTAATTAATTAATTAATTAATTTATTATTATTAAGCTTGAAGCAAGAGCTGGGGACATACACCTCAGATGGTAGAGTGCCTTATGCATACATGAGGCCCAGGTTTCTGATGCC